TGAGGTGGAGGATTTTCACCACACACCAGCACCGGACAGAGGAGGAGGAGCACTCCTACAGCCTGACAGAAAAAAATAAAAGCACACAGCTGCTCACATGATCGCTAGTTTAAATCAGGAATAAAAGTAGTTTACCTGTATAAAGAGCCCTAAAAATCCATAAATTTTGCAAAAAGTCCATTCAACTCGCACCCGCGGTGGGGGGGGGGGGGGACATGAAAGCAGTTCGGTCCGGTTCGCATACATTTCAACCTCTTTGGACGTTTACCTGTATAAAGAGCCCTAAAAATCCATAAATTTTGCAAAAAGTCCATTCAACTCGCACCCGCGGTGGGGGGGGGGGACATGAAAGCACCTGCTGAAGGAAAGGAGAGAGGGAAAAGTAACTTATTTCTAGTGGCAGAACAGGTTGGAAGATGGCTGTTTGATGTTATTTAGTGTTTTTTAAATCATCCTATAGGCTAGATAAATTTGAAAATGAGGTTTTTAAAATATCCGTAAGACTTGAAAAAATCCGTGAGATTGCTCTATACGTCTGTATACCTGCAAAATGATGTCAAATCCTTATAACTTACAGACAGTCTGTACAAGATGGCATGTGTGGGTTCAGGCTGAAGGTCAACAGACGATCATGCTAAGCTTGCTAACTGTTCCACCCTCTGACTGCTGCAGGGGCGTGTCTTAGAGAGAGGCTTTTATACCAGAACACAGCCGCTGTGACGAAAATGTGGAGAAGACACATCACAGCGGAGAGCCGTTAACCAATATGCAAATTAGCCTGCAGTACCACTGCTCTACCCATATGAGCAGCAAAAAGACGTTTTTAGACCAAATATTACAGATTTGAACAAATACRCACAAAAACATCAAAATTAGCACAGAAACAGTACTATATAACATTTTAGACACATTGTAGACAGTTTATCGGCTAAAAAAAGTTAATTTTGGGGTAAGTTACTCTTTAAAGAGTAAGATGCAGGCATCGCAAATTACCAGCCATTACTCAGTTTTCATAACTGTCATATTTTTATTAATCTCTCCATCTACCTAATTGCATTGTGAAAATCTTGCATTTTATAATCAACTTTGTCAATATTAAGTAACTTTTAATGTTTGGTTTTTATTATTTGTTCTTTAGATTATTATTAACATCATGGACATTGACTTCCAATGAATTGCCTTTAGCTAACTCAAGTACAATTACATTTTAACTTGTTTGAATGTTGATTAATGTACCATGTCTCTTTTAGTAAATCCCAAATCTTAAATCATTATGTAAWTATGTTTACATGCAGAAAAGGCTCCTGGTTGTGCATTAAAACGAGCAGCAGGCACATCCATTTATGTTTATGTGAAGATGGTCACATTTTAGAGAATTCTGTGCAATACTGAAATTGCAAATCGAAAAAAAAAGGAAATTGCTTGTCTAGTGATGCTTCAAAAAAATTCATGTTGCTTTAGTATTAAATAAAATAATTTCTATAAAATCTGTCCTATTTGCATAGAAGAGGATGAAGCTGTGTCTGCTTTACTGTTTTAAAATTGTCACAACTACAATGCAAAAGACGAAAAGCTCATAGTATTACATCAAAAAGCTTCAGCTTATGGACTGAAAATTTTCTTCATTTTAAAAGCTGCATACTTTACTAACACATGCTCACATGCAGTAAGATATAAAAGAAAAGGGAAATGTAGTTACCTAGCAACAAAGAGTCACCATTGCCTCTTAAAGCTGTGGACTATCAGAAATTTACAAAAGTCTCAAATTCAGATGATGTAAGCTTTATGTTTCTCTCTGTGTCCTCAACAAAAAATTGTAATTAAGAAGTTCTTTTGGATCCAAGAAAGCGACCTTTCCTATATTTCACTCATGCCCCTATGCACACACACACACAAACACACACATACAGATCTGGTTTTTATATCCCTGTGAGAACCGTGACTTCCATTCATTTATTGAAAATTTTATATCCTAACCCTTTCCTCTAAAATTAACCTCACAGGTACCTACCTGACCCTAAAACTATCCTAAACTAATTCACACCTTTGTCCTAAACCTAACCCCTACCTGTCATTTGCATTTGGACTCGGTCCCCACGAGACTGCTTTTTCAGGAAAATTGTCCCCATTATGTAGGCCACACACACACACACACACACACACACACACACACACACACACACACACA